CGCAGACGGTATTCACTGGACCTCAGGGCAGCTTGGGCGCTTCTCCAGGATGGAGCCTTGGACCAGAGCTGCTCCCTCCTCCCCCACAGGCACCTCGCCCCCCACAGAGGTCTCCTCCTCAGTGCCCAGGCCTGAGACAGGCCCCCTCCGGGGTTCCCCAAACCCCTGGCATCTCTCGAAGATGTTCATCAAGGAGGCTGTGAGGTGAAGTACCCCTGGCTGGGCGCTGCTCCACCCCTGGCTGGGCTCTAACCCACTGGGGGTCTTGAGCAGAGTGCTCCCTCCCAGGCCATCTGTGAGGGGGGGCTCGTCTCCCAAGGGTGAGAGAGAAGCAGCATTTCGGGTGCGAAGACCCTGGAAATGTCCTCCTGCTCTTCACGTGCAGAGGCTAACGAGGACAGCCAGCCGTACTCACCCTCCCAAGAGGACTTTGGGGGTTCAGATCCAGGCCAAGGGTCGCTAGGGATCAACGCTGACACCCTTGCTCCCGGGGAGCCAGCACCATCCCCTTGTCCACTGCATGTCTGCACCCCCGGAAGTGCATGTGTTGAAACTCTACCCCGTGTGATGGAATTCGGGGCAAAGCCTTTGGAGGTAACTGGGGTTGGAGGGGTCATGTGGGTGGAGGCCCCATGAGTGGAATCAGTGCCCTTGTGAGAGTCAGGGAAGCATGCTTCCCGGCCCCACTCCCCTCCACGAGGCGGTACAGCGAGACGTGGGCTGTCCCCAGTGGGAACAGGGCCCTCCCCAGAACCCAGCCGTGTTGACGCCCTGCTCCCAGACTTCCAGCCTGCAGAACGGTTAGCAGTACATTTCTGCTGCTCACAAACTCCATCGCGGAGACAGACCACGTCCTGGAATCCACACGATTCAGGGGCAGCACCCGTACCGCATTAGGGAGTTCCCGTACCGCTGCAGCCTGGCGTCCTCCGGGGACGCCCGTCTGCCCATCCTCACTCGACCCTCTCATCCTCCAGAGAGGGGTGGGACGTACTCATGGCCTCACCGCTAGCTCCTGAGCCAGGACTCGAATCCAGGTCTCTGGGTCCTAAAGCCTGCGGCCCCGAGGCCACACTGCGGGAGACAGGTGCCAAGTATGGGAGCCAGGGCCTGGTTACACGCTAGCGGTGTCTTGGGCAAGTCGCTTAACATCTCTGGGCTTCAGCTGCCTCGTCTCTGGGGCTTCCGGGACGCAATGAGACGTATGAAGGGGCTCAGCGTTGTGAAGGGCGGTGCACGGGACCTGCGGCCTCCCCCAGCACCGGGCCGAGCTCACACGTGCACACCGCCCCCCCAGTGCCCCGGAAGCTGGCACAGTGTCCCAGGGCGGCTGGCTGGACTGTGGGCTCCTGGTCCTCGCCCAGCTCGGCTCAGCGGCGGCGGGTTCGAGGCTGCCCTTTGCAAGCAAGCACTGCTCCCTTGGGGGTCCAGCACTGGCTGTTGTTCTGTCCCCTCCCCTTTATTCCTGCCTCTGAGCCCCTCTGTGCCTGGCCCGTCCTGAGGCCTTTCTGAGCTGTTTTTCCACAGCCCCCCCCCTTTCTATTTTCCCCAGGCTCCTGGCTCCCCACGTGTCTCTTGGCCTTGGCTCAAGCCTGGCACCGTCCCCCTCTGAAGTGCACTGGGGAGGGGGTGTGGGCTGGGTCTCACCCGGCCCCTCCTCCCTCACGGACCCTCTCCCTTCTCCCCGGGACCTGGTCCGACCTGGTGGAAAGTAGATCCCAGGACAGAACTTCCACTGAGGCCCCAGGAACGTCCACAGTGTTTGTGCCCGGACCCTCCCTGCTGGAGAGGGAGTGCGGCCTTCTCCAGGGACCCGAGCCCCCGGGTGGGCCTGCCCGCCTTGGGGGGGCGGCCAGGCAGAGCAGGCATGTGTCCTCTAGACACCCCCCGCCCCCGCCCCCACCCCTGATGACTGACTTCCGACAGGAAGGAGGGAATTTCTCTTTGCTGGTACTTGTGCAGGAGGAGGGAGGGCCACCCAACGCCGGTCACCGAAGTGGCTTCCCTTGCAACCTTGATGGACAGGACACAGCACTGGGGGTGGCCCTGCCCCCCCACCACCTGCTCTGTCCTTGGAAGAGACCCTGAACCTGAGCCTCTTTCCCCTCATCGGACAGCAGGGGTGACCACTGTTACAGAGGGTTTGGGAGATGCGCTCGGACAGCGGATGCAAAGCATCTGTGCAGTGCTGGCCTCGGGCAGGGCGGCCTCCAGAAGCTGCCCTTTGCTCCCTCGCTCTCCTTTCGGCCTAGCAACCCGGCTGGTTTGGTCACTGTCTCAGAGGGAGGGGCCTGTACCTGGTGGGTGGTCTCACTCTGGGGCCCCAGCTTCCAAAGGATGGGACAGAACACCTGTCATTCAGAACCTTCGAGGGGGGCTGGGCAGCGCCTCCTCCCCAACACTCACACACGCACACGCCCTGTAGCCCTGTAGGGAAGGTGATCACTTTCTAGGGTGTCACTGATGCTTGGTCACCCTACCTACAGGTACCTCAAGCTCAGCGCATCCAAAAGGGGCGTCAGCACCTCCCCTTCCCCTGGGCCCCTCCCTGCTCATCTTCTGGGCATCGCTGTCTACTTACTTCTCGGTCAACACGTTCTTACTGACCTCCTCCCAGGGGCTGCTCTTGGTGCCCGGCCTCTCGTCCACCGGAGGACAAAGCCCCCTGCTCTCCCTCAGCTGCCTCGTCCAGCCAATACCACTAATGATTGTAACAGTGGCCAGAAAGGCACCGTTCTGCGTCTCTCATGTGTATTAACTCATTTCATTCTATCCTATTGAGATACCACCGCCGTTTTCCTGATAAAGCAGCAGAAGCCCAGGGTTGGGGAACCTGCCCGAGGCGTCCAGGTAGCACATTACGCCACTCCCGGCCTCCTGGCCTGCCTTCCTGACGTACCCAGAGTCCGACGGCTTCGCCTGCAGCCGCTGCTCCTGCTTTTCCTTCCGTCACCATCACGCCCCCTTGTTCACGGGCCCCGTCACTGCCCCCGCCTCCAGGCTGTCCTCCATACCTGCCCCAGTCAGTTCTGAAGAATGTGAACTGTGTCCCACAGCTCTCCTGCTGAAACACTCCGGTGGCTCCCCAGGGCCTTAGCATCAAGTCCAAATCTGTAGCAAGGCCCCTGCCTGCTCGCTGCGCACCCTCTCTTGTTGACTCCAGGTCTCCCCCCAAAGCTGCCCTTCCCACCAGCTCCTCAGTGCCCAGTCCAGCCCAGGTCACCTCCTTGGCAACTCTCTAGAATTCGCTGGGGTCCTTCTTAGCGGTGTCCCTGCAGGTGCTGTCCCCTCCGCCTGCATGACCTTCCCTGTCTCTTCTCCTACCGACACTTTCTGAGCTTCCGATACAAGCCAGGTCTTGCCTCCCCAGGGAAGCCCCAGACACGTGGAAAAGGGGCGAACCAATGACAAATGGACAACATCACAACAGTGTCCCAGCCCTCACAGCGGTGCGGCCTCCTCTCCACGCCCCTCTCCCATCTGCCACACCTGATCTCCGTGACAGCCCCGAAGCTAGGGCTGTCCCCACAGGGCTGGAGGACGGGCTGTGTCCCCACCCGACGACCAGGCAGCAGGGAGTGACGCATGTGGGCGGAAGCAAACTGTCTAGCTCCTCCACCTGCGGGGCTGCCCCCTCCTAGAGCCCCGGGGATCTGCCTGCAGAGCCCACAGAACCCCTAAACATGCCAAAGCCGTGACCCACAACCAAAACAACCCGACCACTGGTGTGTGGGAGCCCGGCAAGCGTCTGCCGTCTTCCCTGTGAAGACCACTCCGATGCTCTGGACAAAATGGCACATGCTGTCCCCTCCCCCACTTCTGGCTGCCCCTGCTCTGCTGGTGCTTTAAGCAAATGTTGGGTCTTCCCTTTGGGGGTGGGAGGAGGAGGGAGGGGGTGGGAGGGGGTGGGAGGAGGAGGAGGGAGGGGGTGGGAGGGGCAGCCAGCTCAGGCTTTCCTGGCCATTGGTCTTCTGACGGTGGCCTCTGGGGGCACACTGGGTCACCCACCCTAGTCAGGGGTGACCTGAGGGAGGAAGAGGAGGGGGCTGGGGCAGGGGACCAGACCTTGTTGACATGGAGGGGAGAGGGGGAGGATGGGGGCAGGCAGGGGCCAGCTGGGCAGCTGGGGGCACAGGGGTGCAGAGGAAGGCCTGAGCTGTGGGGGATGGGGCACAGCTGGTAACCAGGGCCCCCAAGACTGGGCCCTTCATCCATGGGTCTTTGGAGGAAACCTCCTTCCCCACCCCTCCCTCCCTCCCACAGGGAGTCAGGACCAGCTAGAGTTTTCTGATTCCACATCCATGTGCGGGACCCACGGGCTGAGAGGCCTCTGTTTCCCCCCCTGCTCACCTTATGCCCAGTCCTGTCTCCCGAGTTGGGTTTCTTCCCGAATACCTATGCCCTGCCCCATCGACGTAGATGGACTGAAATTCCGCTGGTCTGGCGACCAGGCATGGACCCGGCAACGGACCCGCTGTGAGCAAACCGCACCTGCCCGAGCTGCGGGCAGGGGGTGGTCACAGGCAGCACCTGCCCTGCCCGGCCCTGGCTCAGCCTTTCGGCCACAACGCCCCTGCTGGACGGGAGAGGAACTGCAGGGCTCCCTGGAGGGGGGCTGTGTGCTGGGTGGCCCGCGAGTCCCCAAGGCCGACCCACCCCAAGCAGGGGAACGGGTGTCTGGACCTCCCACCCCCAAAGCCTTGGGGGCTAGAGCAACCCACACAGAGGAGACAGCCCTTTCCTGACTCTTCTGCGGGCAGCCGACCCCACCCCACACCCCCAGGCTCCGGCAGAACGCCAGCTGCCCTAGGGGCCCCACCTAGGGAGGTCCTGTTCCCACAGACCTCGGCAGGGTTTGGGGCCGGATACACATGGGAGCCTCACATACGTACACGATGACAACAGAAACCCGGACACACGGAGGACCGGGGCACACACTGTCTGAACAGGGGGGCGTGGGGGTGCAGCGGAGGGAGTGGGGTGGGCCGGCTGGGACTCACAGAGACTGCAGGCTCGGCAGCTGCCACAGCGCCTCGGCGGGGATCCCTCCCAGCTGGTTGTTCTGCAGCATCCTGTAAGGACAGCAGGGCTTGGAGGACCCCAGCCTGAGCTGGGCTTCTCCCTTGAACCTCACCCGAGCTGGATCCCTCTCACCCCAGCCCAGGCCCAGCCCAGGCCCAGCCCAGGCCCATCATGGGGCTTCAGAGGCTGCACAGGTGTTGGCTGTGCCCAGCCCGGAGGGGTCACGGCAGGGTGAGGCAGAGCTGAAGAGGACGATGGAGAAGCAGAGACACGTGGGCAGCAGTGAGGGGGGCCAGGAGTCAGAACTCGGGTTCTGTTGAAATTTGGTTGGAAAGGGTGTGGCGAAAAGTAGGTTTTTCTCCCCAGGCCTCAGTTTACCTGTTTGTGCAGGGGAGAGGCTGAAGGTGCCTTTGGGGAAGGGGTGGATGTGGATGAGGGCAAGGCCCCCGGCCCCACCTGTCCTGCACACCTGTGGTCCCTCAGGCCGAGCGAGGACCGCACTCTGTGAGTGAGCGTGGGGGACGCCCCACCCTCCCTGAAAGGGGCACAGTCAGCCTGCCAGTCAGAGGGGACGCTCAGAGAAGACACGCCTCTGGCCCAAGGTCACTCAGGTCGCAGCGTGGGGAAAAGTGGCCCTTTCCTGATCTTTAATAGCAGCTGGTGTGCCAGGCCCCGGTCTCGGGACTTTACATGGATTCGCTCAAGCGTACCAGACGGCCTGGGTCTCGCGCCCACACAGCCTGTCGTGAGGCAGACACAGTGAGGACGGCAGTGCTGGGCACAGGGCTCCTGGGTCCCCTCCTCCTGCCTGCAGCCCCCGGCAGGACAAGAGAAAGCGGGGCTGGCTGGGGTGGGGGTGAGAGGAGCTCCTTGGAGGATGGGGGGCAGAGAGGGGACTAGGGATGCGTCTCCCTCTGCTGCTGAGGAGCAGAGCCCCGGCTCCTCCCTGCACACTCTGTGCTCCGAAGGCCCCAGGCCTCCAAGCCAGGCTCTGCGCAGCCCAGGGAACTTTCTAGGACAATTTTGCTTGTGGGCCACACCACAGGCCCAGCGGTCAGGCAGCTGCAGCTGTGAGACAGATGCGAGGGGCAAGGATGGTGGGCAGGACCCGCGAGGGCAACAGCCAGGGGTTCCAGAGCAGCAGCCCGCCAGTGGTTTCCGTAGGGCGGTGGGTTCTGGGGGTGGCGTGAGGCCCATCCTCCCCTCCCTCATCCGTCCTAGGGCCAGGAGTCCTGCACAGGTGTTTGCACGTTTCTGCAGCTACACATGTTGAAGCACGTAGTCCAACTCCCCCATTTCCAAGGTGAGGGAGGCCGAGTGCCCTGCAGAAGGGGCACAGCTCGGACAGAGTCCCCAACACAGGAGACCGGGCGGTGTGGACAGTCTCCAGTGCACGGGAATTATTACGCTGACAGGGGCCTAGCTGCTCAGCTTCTCCTGCAGGTCTGAAAAGGAGAACAGACCAGCACTGCAGCCAGAGAGCCTGACACTGGACTGGGGACGGGGCTCCTTGTCCGAATGCAGGTGGAACCCCCGCCCTGAGGCCCCCGGGTAGGAGCAGCTCCCACACCGCCCAGCTCGTCTCTATCAAAGACACTCACAGGCCAGAGCTGGCGTGGGCTCCGTGCACCAGGGAAGTCCTCCGGCACGGGCCCCGAGGGGGGCAGTGGGCAGTGGGCGGGGGCAGTCTGGTTGCGCTGGGCTCCGACCTGCAGCCTCTCCCACGTCCTGCGGGGCTGAGCCCAGGGCGCTGTTTGCAGACGGGGCAGTGGCCCGCCAGGGCTTTGACTCACTGCCGAATGCAGGCAGCGAAGAAAGGGGCTGTCGCTGAGCTAAGCCGGCGTCTTAGGAGTGGGCCCGGCGCCTCGCACCTGAAGGCCCAGCACACAGCTCGCTCTGAGCCGGCTGCAGGCCTGAGCCTGCCCTGGGCACAGGCACGCCACCGAGCAGGCTCATGCACGGCGTCTGATCGGATGCACTCCCATCCTGGGCAGTGAGGGGATGGGGGCGGACAGACCCAGGGCAGAGAGACCACAGAGAGGAAGGGGAGAGGTTGGAGGGCGAGAGGCTGGGGAGTCAGACTCAGGGGCAGGGAGAGGGAGGCTGCAGGCAGAGGTGCTGGAGACCCACACTCAGAGACAGGTGGAGGTGCTCGGCCCTGGCCCGAGGACTGTGGACGGGCTGGAGGCCGGAAGCTCACAGGCCAAGGGCCACCGCCGGCCCAGAAACAAAATCGAGCAAATTAGAAAAATATATTCCTTCCCGGCCGGTGTGGCTCACTGGGTGAGCGTCGACCCTGCACCAAGAGGTTGCCGGTTCGATTCCCAGTCAGGGCACATGCCCAGGTTGTGGGCCTGTCCCCAGTGGGGGGCGTGCAGGAGGCGGCCCATCGATGTTCTCTCTTCATCAATGTTTCTATCTCTCTCCCCCACTCCCTCCCTCTCTCTCTAATATCAATAGAGAAAAAATTATAAAAGAAAAATATATTCCTTTCTAGGCAGATACAGCCCACACTGGACAAAGGGCTGGATTACAGCCCCTCTCACCCTACAGCCGGACAGTCTGCGCAAAGAGGACCCGCAGGTGGAGTCCGGCTAAGGGGCGGGGGCTGCGGTGTCACCATGTGGGGAGCTCCTCCTGCCCCTGGGATCAGACCCACAAGCCTCGTTCTCCCGAGACCAGGGGCCGGGGCGACGTGCCCTCCTGAGTAGATTGTCCTCCCCACCCTCAGACCCTGTGCACCCCTCCCCCCATCATCAGAACATGAGTGGGCCTTGGGGTGGACAGTCTCGGCCGGGACCTGGTGAGCCATGGAAGGACCAAAGGAGACAGTGTCTTCCATGTCCCTTCTGAGGGGCAGGGGGCTTCGTTGACACAGCAGATGCCCTCGCCCACTGCCACTTTCCTGGGCTTCAAGATCAGGGGGACAGGACAAGCATGAGTCGAGGGAGGAGACATGTTCACAGTGAGAGGGGAGCCTGAACCGCAGACTCGGACACCAGGCTGGGGACCTGAGGGCGGGTGGCCGAGGACCCGGGGTGGGTCTGTCCTCTGCAGACAGCCCTCCCGGTCCCGGCAAGTCTCGGGGACAGCACTGGGGTGGGTCACGACCCCGCGGGGCTGCGTGGAGAGCAGGGCAGAGGTGTGTCCACAGCCGTGACGCTGTTGCAGACCAAGTGACCACACAGACACGGACGCCACGGCTCAGGTGAAAAGCGCAGATCAGGGAGAGACCGGGTGGCAGATGGAGACGCAGGCGGGACGTCTCCCTGCGCTCCCAAGGTCGCAGCTCGGCGTGAAGGTCGCACACTCATACTCACAGGATTTTCAGGCTGCGGAGACCAGAGAACGCTCCTCCCGGGATGTGAGAGAGATGGTTCCCAGAGAGACGCCTGCAAGTCAGAGCCGAGGGTGGGTGACACGGGCAGGGGACCAGGAGGGGACCCCTAGCCTGGGGGTCACAGGGGCGGGTGTGGTGCTGACGCCCACTTTCTGAGAGTGACGTTTGCTGCCCTCACCCATCACTTCCCTCTCACCCCACCCTGTCAGGTACTGTTATCACCCCAATTTCAGGGGGGAAACGAGGTTCAGAGAGGTCAAGTCACTGCCCTCAAGGTCACGGAGCAGCACAGGGCTGGTTACTTCCGGGCAGGTGGACACCCCGTCTGCTGCCCTCCTGAGCTGACGCGGCCCACGGCCCGCCATGGACTCCCCATCCTTGCTGCTCCGTCACCGCGGAGGGCCCCATACAGACGGGGTGCCGGTGTCTCCTCGTGTCCTAAACGCACAGCCAGCCCCACGACCCGGGAGGTAAGAAACGGGGCGGAATCAGTCTGCCGTCTGGTCTAAGTGTTTCCACGTTTGGGGTGATCAGTTCCAAAGGGGTGGATGTGATGACATCGACTCCATGTGAACCTGACCGAGCGGAGCTTCCTTGAGGCTGCAGGAGGCCTGGGGTCCCAGGGTCCCCGACTGTGCACCTGTGTCCACTCAGCTCCTACTGGGAGGCCCGCAGGCACAGCGGCGGTGTTGAAAACCCTCAGGGCTGTTTCTATCAACATCTCTCTAGCCTGGCGGAGTGGCTCAGTGGCTGAGCGTCCACCCTGCTCCAAGAGGTCACCGGTTCGATTCCCGGTCAGGGCACATGCCCAGGCTGTGGGCCCATCCCCAGTGGGGGGCGTGCAGGAGGCAGCCCATCGGTGTTTCTCTCTCTCTCTCCCTCTCCCTTCCTCTCTCTCTAAAGTCAATAAAGAAAAAATAAATAAATAAAAACATCTCTCTAAGAAGAGTCTCTAGACTTGACATTTGTTTTTCGAACACACTGTGCAGAAAGGCGTATTCGAGGTCGTAAAGCTTGGGTCCTTTAGAGGGGCCTCTGAAACGGCCCAGGTGATCTCTGGTCACCTGTGCCCTGCTCCCCGCCCTTGTGAGGACTGGTGAGCCCCATGTCTCCTGCCCCACTCCCCGCCCTTGTGCTGTCACCTCGGAAGGCCCTCCGCAGCCTCTCGCTCACTCGCTTCCTTTGAGAATGGGCTTCCCTGCCCCCCGCAGGCCCCCCTTCCTGGGAGCTCCCGAGGGTGGCAGGCAGCGCCCCATCTTCTCTCCCCCAGGACACCCCGAGCTGCCTGTCACACGGGCCCACAGGTGCCTGGTCTGAAAAACTCAGCGTGGCCCCGGGATGAATGGGATCCTGACCCCAGCAGGCGCTGGCCAACCGTCCTCTTGGGGAGACTGGCTGGGGGGGGGGGCAGGGCAGACGTGAGCTTGTGAATGTTTTCAGGGCCTGGGGCCACCGTTGTCTTAGTGGAAGCAGAACTCAGTGGCGCCCCAAGGATCTCTGGGAGGGTGCGGGGGTGGAGAGAGGGCGGGAGGTGGCTTGCTCAGGACGCCCGCGGAGAGAGCTCCCCAGGCCAGGCCGAGGGGAGTCCCGCCTCCACGCAGGAGGGAGACCAGAGTGACCAGGACCGGCCTGTGGGGCCAGCTGGCCATGGGTCTGGGCCGGTGAGGGAGGACCTCGGCTCTGCAGCCAGAGAAGCTGGTGGAATGCGCCCTGGAGACGTGCAGAGACCCCGAGAAAGGGGTGGCCTGTGGGTTGGCGAAACCCCCATGGGAGGAGGTCAAGGACAACAGCAGGGGGGACAGGGAAGGGGTGAAGGAGAGACTCCAGAAGAAGCCCCAGGACTTGGGAGTGGTGGGGACTGACCTGTAGGGTGGCTCCCAGAGAGAGGGGTGGATGTTGACAGAAAGAGGGGGAGCCACTCAGGGGAGCCGGCTTCAGGGAGGAAACGCAGCTGGTGTTTGCAGTGCCTCCTGGCCACCCTGGGTCCCACCTGGGCCAGGTGTTCCTGCAGCGGAGGTGGGAGGTGGCCCAAGCGACCCCCCGCACCCCCGGGGGGCAGCGGCTACTCACAGCTCCTCCAGGAAGCGCAGGTGGTGGAAGCGACCGGGCGGCAGCTCCGTGAGGTTGTTCATGCTCAGGTCTCTGCATGGGGGGAAAAGGGGCTGCGGTGAGCACCCCATCTGCACCCAAAGAGCCCCAGAGCACTCACCACTGCCAAACCCCAAAGCTGGCCCCAAACTCCACCCCTCTGGGTGGGCGCTGGCCAGGGCAGGCCTTGCGGGCCCAGACGGGCACCCCCTCCCGTCCCCGTCACCCGCTGGCCTGCCCCTGCCTGCATGGACTCCGGGACTGGCCCTGACGACAGCTGTGAGGGAAGCTGACCCCCTGCAAAGGAAGGACCTAGAGAGAGATCCACAGAGTTTCAGAGCAGGAGAGGGGCCGCCAAATACACAGCACACGGTGCGTACCAGGGGGGAAACCGAGGCACGGAGCACCCTGCCGTTCCGACCTCCAGGGCAGTTTTCACGCACAGGCATGAACCCAGAGCCGGGGGCTGCGCAGCCCTCTGAGGCCCCTGTTGGCTTCCTGACCGAGGCGCCCGGTTCCCGAGTGGTGGACGCACGGACACCCTGACCCTCCCGTGGTATCTGTGGGCCCAGCTGGTTCAGTGTCTCGCCTCCAAGGTGCTTGGACACAGAGTCCTCACAGCAGTAAGAGCCCTACACTGACTAGTCTGTGTCAAGCACCAGCTAACCTTTACCCAAATAATCCCGTTTAATCCCCACAACACCCCAGGCAGACGCCGTTGTTGCCCCTGTTTTACATTCGAGGAAACAGAGGAAAGAGGTCTGCACTTTGGAGTCAGAGGCTCTGAGATCAAGTCTCTGCTCTTCCCCATCAGCTCTGAGGCTGTTAACCACTATGACCCTCGCTGTCTTCATCCCTGGAAGTGGGGTGATAGCACTCAAGTCCCTGGATCCTTGGAAGGGTCACATGGGCCAATGCTCACAGACTGCTTAACTAATAGCACCTGTGTTCTTCTGTCCACCTGTCCCTCAGTGACCTGTGGGCAAGGGCAGCCGTCCCTGTGTCCGCATGTCCTGTGTGTCCCTGGTGAGCAGCGGTGTCTGAGGCTGCAAGTGTGTACCTAACACATGGGTCCCATGCTGGTCAACCCTAACAGGGCCTTCTTGCCTCTGCCGCACCCCATCCCTGGGGCACAGACGTGGGCTCAGACAGACACCATGCTGCGGGGACCACCCCCAGGCCTCCTGCTCCGAGGCACCTTCACCCTCAAGCCCCAGGATGCTTTCTGGTCTGGAAAGGCAGGCTGGGGATGGCGGGATGTGCCCGGGAGCCCCACGCCCAGTCTATAAAAAGACCGTTTAGTCTCCGAGTTTCACGGTTGATAAAGCCTGGACAGCAGTCCTCTGGGGAAGGAAGCCGCCCATGCAGGGTGGAGCCACGGGACCGGCAGGCAGAACTCGGGGCTGGTTCTGGTCCTCGGCTCCCTCCCTGCTCCGGGTGCAGACTGGCCTCATAGAGGAGGAAGGGTCTGGTGTGCTGATGGTCACCCCTCAGGGAGCAGCACCCAGAGAGGTCGTCAGGGAGCTCAGACCCGCTGGCCCAGGTTCCGGTGGGGTGTGGAGAGGCAGGGCACTGGACAGCCGGGGACACGGTGGCCCAGGAAAGCCCATGCGCAGCCCCTGGGTCTGCCAAGACCCCCCCCCCACACACACACACACAGCGCTGGGCCGGCTCACCCTCCACCAGGAAGGAGCTGCAGCGGAGCACCTCTGGGTGTTTACCCTGTGCATTGCTGAGCGTGCCTCCACAGGAGCTCAAGGACCGCGCGGGGCGTGTGACTCAGGGCTCATCACTCAGCGGTCCCTCCAGGGGCCGCTTCTCAGAGGCTCTGATGTGGCTCCAAGCCCCCCCTCCCCCAGCGGCCTCATCGTTCTCCCCTGGGGGAGGGGGCTGTACCCAGCCCGCCCCCACATCCTGCCCCATGACTACACAGCCCAGCTGCAGGGCTGTTTAGGGGGGTGGATCTCAGAGGGTCGGGGTGGGGGGCCTCTCAGGCCTGGCCCTCTCACAAAAGGAAAAGGGGCGAGGCGGGTGCCAAGGAGGGGGGGCAGGGAACAGCGCTGGGCCAGGAGGTGCAGGAGGCTCCAGCTGAGATCCTCCCAACTGGTACCTCGGCCCCACCAGCCGGCTATGGAGGGGTCGTCCTGGGGGCGGGGCCTGCTGGGGGGCCCTGCCTGGGCGGTCAGGGAGAGTGTGCCCCGAAGGTGGAGGTGCTGAGCTAGGGCTTCCCGGGAGGGGGGCTGTCCTGGTGCAACCAGGGAGTGGGGTTCAAGTCTGTGCCTCTGTCGCTCTGAATTCTTAACTGTGGCGGAGAGGCACCCAGTTCTCGCTGCCCTGGGCCCTGCCGACTGCTTCTCAGCGGAGCCGCAGGGGCTGAGAGGGTGGACCAGCAGCCCTGGGCGCTCTGGGTGGACTCAGCCCTGGGGGGGGCGAGGCTGGCAGGAGCCGAGAAGAGCCACAGCCCTGGGCCGGGAAGTGGAAGTGCTGGCCCAACGTCAGGAAAATGTTCTCAGAACTTCACCCTGTGCGGGACCAGACCACCCAGGCTGCTGGGTGGGGCGGTGTCGCCATGGAGACCAGGGCAGGTGTGATAAGAGGGGGATGCTGGGGGCCTTGGGCAGGAACTGAAGGATGGGAACGGAGACCCTGCCCCCGAAGCCAGGAGCTGGCTCTGCGCCCTCTCTCTGCAACACCAGAGCCGGCTGTCGGACACCGGCCACTATGCACATGAGGGCCTCTGAGTTAAGTTCCGTCAGAGCAGATCAAACCACATCGGTCCCTTGGCCACACCAGCCACTGGTCGAGCTCGGCAGCCACACGTGGCCAGTGGCACCAGGGGACGGCGCAGACCGAGAACACGCCCAGCGTCGCGGGAAGTCCCACCGCACACTCGGCAGCCACACGTGGCCACAGTCCCGCGTCTGACTCCCGGCTCTGCCACCGTGTGACCCTGGACCCTGGGAGAGTGACCCTTCACCGCTCTCTGCCTCCGTCTCCCCACTGGTCAGGTGCTTAGCCAGTGCCCAGCGCACAGGAGCCAACCCACACGGCCTGTGAGCACCACGGCCCGACGCTCCCGTTCACGAGGCCCCGTCCAGTGCCTCCTCCTGCGGACGCCTCCAGCCACCCCTGCTCACCCTCCAGCCACCCCTGCTCAGCCAGGCAGGCTTCACCCACCACCTTCACTGAGCACCTTCCACACACCGGGCACTGCCAGGCGGTGAGGCCGCAAAGCCCGGCAACAGGCTCCCCCTCAGAGAGCCCGTCGGGGGACAGGGGAGAAGAGCCATGCGGGTCTTCCTCAGACGAACCCATGTGGCCCCGGAGCCGGAGGCTTCAGCCACAGGGTCAGCCCCGCAGTCCCGTCCTCAAGTACAAGCCGCCACCTCCCAGCCTCAGACAGTCCCCGTGCCTGTCCTTGTCACAGGCACACAACACCGGCTCCGAGGTCCTCTGTGTGCAGCGGCGGGGGTGGGCACCCACGGGCACACCGGTGGGGGACTGCCGAGGGCCGGGACAGATCTGACACGGGACGGGTACGAGGGACGGACAAGGCAGCAGAGCTAAGCGGCCCAGACGGCGGGCGAGGACCGCCCACCTCACCTTGGAGCTCGGGGCATGCCCAGCCTGCCGGTTCAGTCCCTGGTCGGGTGTGCGTGAGGGGCGACCAATCGATGTTTCTCTTTGTCTCTCCCTCTTCCTCTCTCTAGAATCAATGAAAAGCGCATCCTTGGGTAAAGAGTTTTAAAAATGTTATATGCAAGTCCTTGTAAGGGAGCTGCTGGGAGGGTTAAGCAGGGGTCCTAGTGCGAGGGGCACCGCATCTTTGCCCGCTCTGTGCTCAGCTCCCAGAGTCCTACGCCAGCACCAAAGGGTCAGGCAGGGGTGTGGGGAGGGTGGGGGAAGGGAGGGCGTTCTGGGTCAGCCCTGCCCTTGGGAGGCACCAGCTGCTGCCTCTCCCTGGTGCCTCCCAGTGAATGCCACCTGCCCAGCCCTGGTCTTTGCATCCTTTGATCTTCTGATCTCTGGCCTGGGTCCCTTGGCCAAAGGCATTCTCTCCCTGGGCTCCTCCAAGGGAGGGCAGAGGTCTGGCTGCCTGCCCCCAGCTCCTCCCCCACCCCGCCCTGCTGTGTGTAACCAGGACAGCCACAGAGGCCCGAGACAAGGTCATCGCCAGGTGACCTCTGAGGGGGCAGTGTCTGAGGGGCAGAGGGGACGGGGGGAGGGCTGGCCGCTGGGCGACCCCTGGGCATGGTGCCCCGGCCTGGGCACTGCTGGAAAGGGGCCTGCAGCTCTGTGCCTTGTTTCTAGAGCCCTGGAGCCCTGGAGGAGGGGTGTGTGGGGGTCACAGGGGAGGAGGGGACACCCCTCAGAGGACACCCCCTTATGAGAACACGTTCAGAGCCACAGACACAGCCGCACGCAACTGGACAATCAGGCTGGGGGATCGCAAGGGTCTGGGGAAGTGTGGCCTGTGTAGCCAAGGGGGGCAGGCTCAGCCATCAGACGGGGCCTGAGAGCTCTGCGAAGGGCGGGCGTGAGCCGGGGTGCTCAGGATGGCAGCGAGGGTGGTGCAGCTGGCGAACGGTACCCCCGAAGATATGCCACATCCTGGTCCCTGGCACCTGCGAGGGGGGCCCACTTGGAAAAGGGACTTGGCCAGTGTAAGACGTGCAGGTCTGGAAACGAGGACGGCATCTTGGATTATTTGGGGGGGGACCCTAAATCTGCAACCGGGGCCCTGGCGGGAAACACGCAGGGACCACTGGAGGAGGAGGGGGGACTGGAGTGGCCGCTAGCCGCCAGCAGCAGTCAAAGGCCCCGTGGGCTCTCCCCAGGCCTCTGTGGCGAGCACAGCCCAGCCGACATCTTGGTCCTGGGCGTCTGGCCTCCAGGACTGTCCGAGAATCCATTCCCGATGCCTTGAGCCTCCGGTGTGTTATAGGAGCCACTGGGAACTGCACAGTAGGTCAGAGCATCTCAAGGTACAGGGCCCTGCCCCGGGCTACCCCGGACGCGCCAGTGACCGACCCACACGTCACCAGGGAAGTCAG